AATCTTAAGATATCTATTTTTTGGATAAAATTCTAATGACTACTAAATGTTTTTAATATATTATGTCCTCAGAATAAATATGAGTTTATCTTTAGGTTTGCCATTAGAACACTGCATGTCCAAATAACATTTAATCAAGTTTTTAACAATTATTAATGGTGAATTAGAAAATTGATCTCCATATGGAATTGATTACTATTTGAAATATACTGTTTTTTTTCGAAGTTACACAAGCAAAGGATTTATTAATTGAGAGAACTGTTTAAACTCAATGAAATCCAAAGATATTACATTATTAGGTATGCTAGAAACATCTAGACGGATGCAATAATGTAATAGTAATTTAATAACAATCTGAATATTTTGAATAGAACCAAATGAAAATGATTGAAATCGATAAATGCTAATAATAAATGTCTTAAGGACGTAAATAAGAGCTTGGGGATTGGGAAAAATTCAAAAAGTAAAAAGAATAATGATAATTTCACTAAATTCATTGTGGCGAGACTTGAAAATAAAAAAGTATTATATAGGGAGGGATTTGGAGTGAGAGGATAAATTGGAGTTTGGAGAGAGAGCAGTTGAAGGATCAAGAAATGATTGGTCCATAAGAATACATACTTAAAGGAGTGATATAATAATAAATTTAATATATTAAGATATCTAACAACCTACAATGGATGAAAACAATAATCAAGATGGGTATTATGTTGAGTTAAATTAAGTGAACAAATAATAATATTTGAGGAGAAGATTACTAAGGTGAATGGAGAGGTGGCAATTAAACGTTATCAAAGAGGCAAGTTTTTAGGGAAGGGAGGATTTGCTAAGTGTTACGAGGCCACAAATTTGGAGAATAAGAAGGTGTTGGCTGCAAAAATCATAGCTAAGTCATCTCTGACTAGAAATAGAGCCCGTTAAAAGGTATTTATAAAAGTAATTGGGTTAGTTGGTGTCAGAAATCAAAATACACAAAAGTTTGTAGAATTCAAATGTTGTCTAATTTGAACATGTCTTTGAGGATCATGAAAATGTGTACATTTTATTGGAACTATGTTGCAATCAAACCCTGAATGAATTAATCAAAAGAAGAAAGAGATTGACTGAAATTGAAGTTTAGTGTTATGTTGCATAGATGATAAATGCATTGAAATATCTCCATAACAATAATGTGATTCATCGGGAGTATTTTTTGTAATCAAATTTAGTTTAAAACTGGGCAATCTGTTCCTGAATAAGAACATGGAGTTAAAATTGGGGGATTTTGGGTTGGCTACAAAACTGGAATTCGATGGTGAGAAAAAGAGAACTATTTGCGGAACTTCCAAACTATATAGCTCCTGAAGTATTGGATGGCAAAGTGGGACACTCATTCGAAGTTGATGTATGGTCACTAGGAGTTATAATTTATGCAATGTTGATTGGTAAACCCCCCTTTGAAACTCCTGATGTCAAATCCACTTACAAAAAAATCAAATTGAATCAATATTCCTTCCCAGATCAAGTCCAAATATCAGACAATGCTAAATAACTCATTTAAAAGATCTTAGTACTCGAACCTAATAAAAGACCTACATTAGATGAAATCATGGCTCATTCCTTCATGAACTCTGGTGGTACTATTCCTAAGTAAAATATAATCACTTAAACTCCCTAGAGTTCTACCTCTATCCACTTTAGCTTGTCCTCCCTCAATTCAATATAACAAATAGTTCCAACAGCCAAGTCGAGCCTCTGAAACTGCTCAATCTAATCCCAAGATGGCCACTGTGAGACCCAACATATCATCGGAAAGACGTACTTCAACAATCTAATTTATTAGAAGATCAATTTGGAGCCACTTCTGGATTAAACACTGGATACAATGGAGGATACAATAGTAGTCAAAGACCATCCTCATAAAAGCCTCAGGATTTCAAATAATCAGTCAGCACCAAATCCCTCAATCAATTTTATACAAGTGGCACTTTGTAAAATCAATAGAGTATCAAACAAAAATATGAAATCTTTGTACGAAGATGGGTTGATTACAGCAGTAAATATGGACTTGGGTATCTTCTCAGTAATGGTGCTACTGGAGTCTTTTTTAATGATTCTACGAAAATCATTTTAGATCCCAAAACTCAAGAATTTGAATATTTAGAAAGAAAAGGCACAGATAAATAGGATGCCATTGAAAAATTTTCTATCAACAGTTATCCCAAGGAATTGCAGAAAAAAGTTACACTCCTTTAACATTTTAAATCTTATTTGGATGCTGATTCTAAAACAATTACTTCCTCTGACACCAATGACTATGATCCATTCCAATCTGTCTATGTGAAAAAATGGATGAAAACAAGACATGCCATCATGTTTAGACTTTCCAATAAGATAGTTCAAGTATTCTGTTCTTCTCTCTCTTTAGGTAAACTTCACTGATAAAACTGAAATCATCTTGTCCTCAGAGAACAAATTGGTCACCTATGTTAACAAATTAGGAGAAAGGAGTCATTATCCCCTAGCAACAGCCCTTGATAGTTAAAATCAGGAGATGGCTAAGAGATTAAAATACACAAAAGAGATCCTAACACACATGCTTAATGGAAACACGAATGTCGACATAAGGAATCCAGAATGATCACTATATATTTGAATGTGAGATGATATAAATCATATAATATTTAAATTAATATAATTCAGATATGGAAAGTAGAAGCAGCAGTGAAGACAAGAAGGAGAAGAAGAGAAAGCGAAGTCGATCATAAAAGAAAGACAAAAAAAAATAAAAAAGTAAAAAATCTAAGGAAAGAAAGTCTAAGGAGAGGAAAAAGTCAGAGAAAAAGAAATCAAATAAGAAATCGGAAAAGAAGAAAAAAAAAGACAAAGAGAGAGAAAAAGAAAAGGATAAAGAAAAGGATAAAGAGAAGGAGAAAGAGAAGGATAAAGAAAAAGATAACAATAAGGTTGATGCATAAAAATAAGGTGAGGAAGTAGAAACCAAAGAAGTAATCAAAAAATTTATATTCCACTTTAGCAAAGAATTGCGAGATTAAAATAAGAAAGAAGAAAAAGATCCAGATCTAATTCTGCTGTCAAACATTATTAAAAATAAATACTTGCCAACAATCCTGTAGCTAAATCAAGTACTCAAAGTTTCTCTTATCTTAATTAGATGCTCTTGGCTATGATAAATAGGATTGCTTTTGGGATGGGTTTACTTGGGTACCTAAAACTAATTTGCACGACAAAGTGAGAGAAGATAAAGAAAAAGTAATGTCATTGACTAGTAGAATGAGAAGAATTCAAATATGCAATATACCGACAGGTTTAACTAATCGAGATCTCTATGCTGAATTGAGCAGATTTATGAATAGAAATTACTTAAATGACGTTGGCAATGCTAAACCCATTCTTTATTGTCACCTAAACGAAAAAGATCGAACTTGCACTCTAGAATTATCATCTGTTGAAGAATCAAATAGAATGCTCAAATTGGAGGAAATCAAATTACTGGATGAATCATGTAAAATTTTCAGATTAGGCGACAGTCTCTATGGTATTTTATAAAATTATATTTTATTCAGGTTAATCGGTTAATCAATCATAATTAGTTTAATAAGCTCATAATATGGCCTAAGCATAAGCAGCCGCATATCTTGCTTTAAAATCACTAGGATATGCCAGAGGATAGAGGGAAGAAGATGAAATTCTGGCTTAGGCAGGTATCCCATCCAGGATTATAAAGGTTGGAAATTTCTTAAATGTTGCTATGGCAATAAATCTAAATAAAAATGAATGGAATGAAATGCGAGAAGATTTACTTGAAGGCTTTTCATAATATGGTCATATAGAAGATGATTTCTTTGTTAAACCTTTTTAAGCAGGTCTTGGAGGTAATTGTGTCAATTAACCACTTTAGCCGAAGCAGGCTCTCTTTTTCTAGTTTATACAACTATTGAAGATGCCTAACGCACGGTAATATCGATGACTGGTATAACATATAATTAGAGAGCACTCAAAATTATATTTATTAACGAATAAACCTATATTAGAAGTTACATCCCATTAAAATTAAAGTAATAACCTGAAATTGAAGAACCACAAATAAATCAAGAAAATGACAATTATGATAATGAACCATTTGAAGATTAAGAAGACTATTTGGATTAAATGGATAATAAAGTTTTAGAGAATAATAATAATAAAGATAATTGATAATTTATATATTTAATATTTTGTGTGGGAATCAAATCAATAAATTATATTGTCATATTAAGTTTTCAGTTACTTTTAATTATTTGGTTCTACTAAAATCTCCTTATTGTAATCATAATCAATAATTCTATGTCATTTTTATAACCAATTGCAATTTGTGTAATGAAATATACTAACATAACTAAATTGTATCATATATATTTATTTTGATAATCAAATCTCAATCTTCTTAACCTTCTCTCCAAGTTCTGGGACTTCTTAAGCAATTACTTTAAGTTTGTCTTTATTCTATAGCAACTCAGCTGTGTTCATTTTAGTTGTTTTCTTCTTAATTTTACTTTACTTTTCTTCAATTTGACTCTTTAGTATATCTGCATGTCTTAAATTTACTTCTTTAATATACTAATTAAAATTCTAAATATCAATACATCAAATTTTTTTTTCTCATGATCATTGTAATTATTCAAATCCTACTTCCAGATTTCAGCTTATCTCTTATTTAATTCCTCTTCTTCTTCTTGTCTTCTCTTTTTTTCCTCTATTTAAGAATTCAAGAATGACCTTAATTATTATCTTTAATCCAATTGGCTTTATCTTTTTCTTTTCCTCTTCAATTTTCTCCCTTTCATTTTACGCTATA